TTCACATCACTCACTGGCTTGAGATCATATCCCATTACTTTTAATGGCTTTGTGGCATTTAAGGTCACTTGACCTTTAATACAACAGATTTCTGTGATGTCAGTAAAATGGTAGTTGCCCCTCCTGATTTCCTTATCTTTCTTCTTTTCTTCCCAATAAATTATAGTATTTCAGACCACTGCATACATCATTTGTTCTATAAAACTAATTTCTTAATTTATCTTTTGCTTTAATTCATAGAATCATAGAATAGTTAGGGTTGGAAAGGGCCTTAAGATCTTCATGCCTTTTTACTGTTTGAGAATAAAATAGTTGGAAACTTCTTACTCTATCCTAATGTAGGAGGAAAGCAAGATTTAAAATGCCAGGGAATTTGTTAACAGAATTAGCAAGATTTAGATAGGAGCAGAAAAAACAGTTCTGTTCAGTATTTCAACTGTCTTTGATATCTGATATATGAGACAAAATCAGCCTGGTAATATCATATCTGTGTAAACAGTCCTTAGTCACTCAAGTGAGTAAGCTGAAATCAATGTGTAAATGAGCATTATGGCTCTGTCCTTGAAAATCATAGCTTGAAAGTGCTGCAAAATTAGTCACTTTTATAACTATGAACTACCTTGCAGGATTAGCCCTGTCAGCACAGGACAGCAGACTTTGCTGAAAAAAGTAGGTATATTCCAATCCAGTACCATTTAACTTTTTTAAAGAAGACTTAATACATGTTAAGGATTTAATATGCTTGCTCACTATTCCAAATCGTCTACAGTATAAAAGAGGAAAGAAAAATATGGAGGGCAATTAAAAACTGTCATTTAACATGGATAATTTAAACATTATTTTCCCATATTAAAAAAGTGCTTGCCAAATTCCAAATGGAAACGAACTTTAAATGCAATATAAGCTTTCAGTGAGCTTTATGCAGAGAACTATCTGACTAGAAAATTAACCAAATTGTTTTTTTAAGTTATGAAAATGTATTGCAATCAGTCAAGAAAAGTAAAACATGCAGTTGTATTGAGCAAGGCAAACATGCATGCTATTAATAAACAATTTCAAAACTGCAATTTTTTTCTTATTCTAGTAACCCTTGGGTACCTAAGCAATCCCAGGCTCTTGAGCACGACTAATTAAATGAGAGGGGACAACAAGATGGGATTCCAATAACTATTTATTTGAAGATAATATGCTTGATAAAATATCTCAGTTCATCATTTTATCATCAGGCACATTTAATAAAAATATATTTAATAATTTTCAAAATAAAGGCACTAGCTGCATCTAAATTTGTCCATTCTAAGGTTAGTTCATCAGATCGTAAATGATCACATGTAATAATGTTTGGGGATTAGAAGAGGTATAAATATTATTTTCCTCCTTTGGGTTATTACATTTTCTTGTTACATATCTGTATTTCCCATCTTGAAACAAACTGTGATGTTTTGCCTCAAAGTAAAATGGAGACAAAAATTTATTAACAGACATTTATTTTCATTTTTAGTTTACCACACAAAATGAGAATGATAGAAATAAATTCTGCAAGAAATTATCTCCTTTCACATCCTGTAACAAAATCTCCTCACTGATATAAACAACTGTAAACAGATTCGGAAAAACTCCAGGAACAAACTTGCCAAAAAGTTTTCAAGTTGACAAGCAGGTATTCTTTATTGCGGTACCAGGAGACACGGGGGATAGCTCCTCCCAACGTGTATCCCTGTATTGCTACACAAGCCGTCCTTATATAGTCACTGGGCATACATATATAGTCATGAGGCTATGCATGAATTACATCATTTTCTAGAAAGATTCCCGCGTTAATACAAAAATGTGATGGTGGTCTTTGAGGGTCGTTTACTTCTTTCAACAATCTTCATAACTTCTGGCAGTCTTTGAAGCACCAGCTTAATTAACATTACAGACATAGCAATCATCCTGTCCTTCTACTTATCAGTTTAATTGCGCCCATAGAATCATAGAACAGTTAGGGTTGGAAAGGACCTTAAGATCATCTAGTTCCAAACCCCCTGCCATGGGCAGGGACACCTCACACTAAACCCTGTCACCCAAGGCTCTGTCCAACCTGGCCTTGAACACCACCAGGGATGGAGCATTCACAACTTCCCTGGACAACCCATTCCAGTGCCTTACCATCCTCACAGGAAAGAACTTCTTCCTTATATCCAATCTAAACTTCCCCTGTTTAAGTCTGAACCCATTATCCTATCACTACAGTCCCTAATGAAGAGTCCATCCCCACCACCCCTATAGCCTGCATTCAGATACTGGAAGGCTGCTATGAGGTCTCCAAGCAGCCTTCTCTTCTCCAGGCTCAACAGCCCCAAATTCCTCAGTCTGTCTTCATACAGTAGGTGCTCCTGTCCCCTAATCATCCTCGTGGCCCTCCTCTGGACTTGTTCCAACAGTTCCATGTCCTTTTTATGTTGAGGACACCAGAACTACACACAATACTCCAAGTGAGTTCTCATGAGAGTAGAGGGGCAGGATCACTTCATTTGACCTGCTTCGACCTGGACATCTGCTAGTCCCAGATACTTCCCATCCCCAGGTCCTGTTTTTCTTAAATCTTTTGTACTAAGGTGATAAGGACCTAACCCTATATCAACTACAAGTGTTTACCTTCACGCACCTCAGTTATCTTACATTACAAAGCCAGCAAACTTAATGTTACTTAGAACTGTATTTACAAAGGTTTATATTCCATTTTGTGCTTTTGTGCTTCCTTGTCTCAAAACAAGCCACACAATGAGATTATTCTTTAGGACTAGCTCCCTTCTGCCCTATAGTTAATTTAAGGATGCTGGCATTTTTTGTTTATTCAGCACACCCATATTTCTTTACACCAATCTTCACTTCAACAGGGAGAGAGAGACTAGCAAACATACTTGTTCTTGTTTGGTAAAGAAGGGTTTTCTTGAATTTTAGCTCTGCTACTCTTTATCTGCTTTTTCACAGTATCGCTGCACATTGTTATTTTCATGCTTTCTGAAATCAGTCACAAGGGTGGCATTTAGCTTCATGGCTAAAGTATCAAATTCAGTATTGTTCTTTACTCAGCATATGCTATTTAGAGTTTGTTTGTGTGGCAGTATATGATATGCACTTGCTACCTGCAGCAATATCTAGTTACAAACACAGTTCTCCTCCCACAGAGTGCTGGAGACTTTTGAGCAAACTATAACACTGGCATCAAATGAGCTTGCAAAATTTAAAGCAGAATTTGTTTCAGAGTTTTGCAAGGGAAAAATGATGCTGGTTTTATTGCTGTTGTTTGTGATGTTATTCACTGATGCTAAATTTCATGTATGAAAAGCCACTGGTACAAATTACCAGTTTAATTAGAATTGCAAAGATATCTTGTAATTATGCTCTTATTATAGTCAGCTGCAAAAATCTGCTACAGATCCAAAAGAAATAAGAAATAAAGTAAAAACAAACTATTTTAAATAGATTCTTCGCAGCTTTCATATTAAACTTAAAATATATTGATTAATTCTTGACTGGAACATTTTATAGAACAACATACGCATAAAATCAGAAGATTACCAAATACCACTGCACGACTGGAAAGAAGCAGGCTAGTAACACATTAGTTTCAAAGCATGCTAACTTGCTCAGAACTAAGCTAATAGCTTTGAATTTCTGCAGCAAGTGCAGTTTGCAAAGTCAGATTAATCTCATTGGGTTCAAGCCTGTATTGTACTTGTTAACAAAGACAAACATTTATTAATTCAGATTCAGCTTTTAAGTTAGGTATAAGAGCCAGATATTTAAGAGCTTGGACATTATTTCAGCTGTGTAAAAGGAATCAGCTTTTCCATTCTGCAATATACTGTGAATAGATTGCACCTGTGCCAGTAACCATAGTGGGTACAGGAAATAAAAGCATGATTTTGTACATCCCAGCTGTGTACCCCAGTTTTCTACCTGCTTGCTGTGCAGGATGGGCTGTTTTGGTCTGTATTAGAAGTAGAGAATCAAGTATCAGCATCCTTTGAATCTTGAGCATTCTCCATGCCAAAATGTGGGTTTGTCTCCAAACCCTGGATAGTGGGCTGAGAGTAATGCTTAAAAGTGACCTAGACAGTCAGAAGCAGGCTGCGTTGGTTCTTCAGGTAAGTAAGTGAATTATTTTTTAGTATTTCTGTATATTTATTTGTTCTGTCAGGTTATAAACAATATCCAGCAATAAGACATAGAGGAGGCATTACAATATCTGTATTTCTGAAATCATGGTATGATTTTAGTTATCTGTGTTAATAGATTTGAATGAAAATTCACAATTTTTTCAACACCAGTTACAGATAAGAAGGGTTTTGTCTATTTTGAAGGATTAATGAAAAGCAATTTTATAGCAGGAAAATTAAAACTCTTGTAAATTTTAAAGCAGTCTTTAAATTTTGTAAAGAATCCAGATTTTTTTTCTATATGCATGATGATGGTAGAAATACTCAATTTAAAAACAAAATGAAAAAAAGAAATTGTGCAAGTATGAGTATGAAGATCTCTGAAGAATTATTCTGAATTGCTGATTGTACATAAAGACAGACTAGATAAGGAAAGAGGTCTGTGAATCAAACAAATACTGAAGAAGGTCCTAACCTCTGCCTGCAAGCTGAGAATCAATGAAACTGGGCTGTGTGTCTACACAGCAGCTTATGGTCAGATTTTGAAAAACCACCAGAGAGTATGTACTGGACTTAAGAAAACACTCTGAAATCATACTGATGTCTTTCTGGATGGATGGGGCGAAGCAGGTTTTACATTTTCACAGCTATCTGTCTGCTCAGAACAGTGCTATGCTTAAACCATGGTGAAAGGGTCTCTACTTTCTGAAAATATGTGTCTCTAACTTGGTTTTGGCTCTCATCTTGGTTTTCTAACTTAAGTACAGATTTCTAATGAGGTTGACATATGTTGTAATTGGTGCACTTTCTACTAATAAGAATTGCTAAATCTGTCTGGTCTTCTTCCAGAAACCAATTTTTAAAGAAACTTCTGACGAAACAACTCATGGTTCATGGAGCAGAACCTCTGTAGAGAGAAGGACAGGGTTGGCTTCTCTTTCCAGAGAAAACAGTCTTTCAAAGTCATTTGTTAAGGAATCATCTGGGAGATGTCTCTTACTGCAAAAACACAGGTGTTGGATCTGAAAATTAATTCTGTGGCTTTGTTTGTTACCTTCTGGAATGGAATTAAGCTAGTGCCCTGAAGACAGCTCTCTGTAAAAAATAGTCTGTTTTCTTATTTGCTGGTATGTTCTTCCCTCATCAACATCCACACAGTGTGAAAATTAAGCATGTCCTCTTGCTTCAGTAATGCTGAAATTCACTGATGTTCCTGCTTTTATGGAGTTGCAGGTGAAGATCTGGGTGTCTAGAAATCTCTGGCAGACATACCAGTTCCTCTTCACCTTTTGCTCAAACAAAGCAATGTATACAATATAAAGGCAATTTCAAATGTCTGCATTGTGTTAATCAACATCAGTACACATCCCAGCAGCTTAAGCAAATAATTTTTTCAGTACATGACTCATTGTTGCAGGTGAGCAGTGCCTGAGAATGTAGTGTCAGAACTGCCCCGAGACAGATAGCTGCAGAGAATGCCCCTACTTTGAAAATACCTCATTCTCATTCTCCTTCTTTGCAAACAGTACTAAACTGAATCTTATTAGCAGCATAAAATCCAGACAGGGAATTTTAAGCTGCTGACATTGTGGCATTGAATATACAGAGATCAGCAGCAAGATGCCAGCAGCAATCTGAAGCAACCTTCACTAGTACTGCCCCCTCCTCCCCATCTAATAACTTCAGATCATCATCAGATGTGCAACCTCCCAAGGTTATTGAATAACAATCCTATTTCTACTAATAGTAGGTACTTCTGGTTCTCTTATAATTAGTCACCATGGAGTTTCTATAAAGGTTATTGGGTTCAAAGTTACTGCTGTGATTTGTTTTAAGGAGGAAGGAAAACACACACATACACACACACACACACACACATACACACATAAAGAAGCAGAAATTATCCTTCTACCACTCATTAGCAATAGTCACAGTTACCTCCGGCGTTTTCTGTCTACACTGAGGGCCTTTTATGCTCTGCATCCTCTGAGTGATTGTGCTGGGAGAGGCTGGGACCTGAACATCTGCAGCTCCCCTAAAGCCAGTTAAGTCAGTTCACTCTGTATGATCTGCAATGGCCACCTAACTTAAACACAACAGATATTCCTGGGTCTAGTGGGGAAAACATTAAATATTTCCTCCAGCAGACAATGTGACAGTGCTACCTGCTGCGGGTGTGCAAGCTTGTTCTGTCAATGATGTAAATTGCAAATAGCTGGTGAGAGCAGAGGTCCTCCTTAACCAGTGGTGATATTTCTCATTTACTTGATTTTAAATAAAAGTTTCACAACTTTGTCTGGTGATTCAACAATGGTGGGGTCAGCAAGCTGGCATGACATCAGATTGATGCCATCTGATTTTAGACTTCTCCCTAAAGGTCAAAGGCATGAAGCGTGAATAGATAAACAGGCTCATCAATGATATCTTTTATTTTCTGGGCTGATGATCAATAATTCAGATTGCTAGCACACTGTGGGGTGTGGCTAAAAAAGACATGTTTTAATACCCATAAAGACAGCTGTATCTGCAATGTGGGAAGCTTAAATTTTAGTTTAAATATTTTTGAGGATGAATACTGAAATGACAGATTCCATAGTGATTTACTGAACAGTGAGCACTGAAAACCATAGCCAAAGCCACACAGACCAGGTTTGGGTCACAACTGGTCTATTCTCTCACTGCTGAAGAAAAGCAGAGCTCCGTTCTGGCACTCTATAGAAATCTGACAAAAAATGTTCTGGCTGGGGGAATATATGCAGGGCTGCAATAATAAGCGCTCTGCAGTCTCAGGGATGTGTGCTTTCTTTGAATGCTCAGATCCATGTAAACATACCAGCATCCGTCTGCCACTGCCTTCACATTCACCAATGACTGCCTCACTTGCATTTTAATACAGAGATCCTCTGCAGAATTTGCCTAGGAAGCACATAGAGTTCAATTAATCTCTCTTTTGGTCCTTCCAAAGTCTCAGAGAGAACCAGAAAGTAAAATTTATGGCTGAACATCAGGAAACACACAAGGTCTTTTTTCTAATCAGGTAAGGCTCAGTGTTTTCAACATTTTCTGTTTGCCATGTGGATAAACATGAAGTTATCCAAGCACTAACAATGCATAGCTCTGGAATAATGTCATTTGTTTCCTAAAACAACCTTAAACAACCACATGTTTTCCCTGTAGATAAGTCAAGTTCTTTTTTCCTGTAGTATTTCATTACTAACGAGACAATTTCTTCCCTAAACAGTAAAAATTAAACTGTTAGTATGCACTGTAAAATTCTCATCTCACTTTTGCTAAGCTAAACAAGCATATTTACAATTCTCAAATGGAAAGCTTAATAAATCCACTCCCAGCAACCTATATATTTCTGTCATTTCAGACACAAACTTCTTTTCTCATTGCCTAAATCTACATTTTTGTTTCAAAGGCTGCTATTTTGTATTCAGTTCCAGTATGCTCATCTATTATTTCCCCTATCGCATTGTTATCAGATGTTCTGCAGGTTGACGGTTACTGTCCTGTGCCAAGAAAAAATGAAGTCAGCACAGTTACATATGCTTTTTCCGTGGCTAGCATGCATGATATCATCCTAATCGGTGTATCATTCAACTGTCTTCTTACCTCATTTCCAGGCTAGATTTAAGATAGTTTTAAAACACAAAATTGTTGTGTTTGATATTCTGTTCTTTAGCTCAGAAATAATTCTAAAAGTTACATATTGCTGAGGCTACTTGTGATTCATCAAACCAATGTTCATGCTACCAGCAAATGACCTGGGTCCTGTGAATGGAAATAAAAAGTAGAAAGAAGACATCTTGATTTTAAGTGATACTGGAAAGATAAAATTTGTGAATAAAACTTGAGGGAAACTTGCTATTAGTATGCATTATTGCTTTAGTATTCAGAAACATTTTCATTTTGTATTTCATCATCTTAGACAACGTTTCTGGATTTCTTCATCTTTCTTTAATTCCTTTTATTTTTTGTCACTGGGTGAATTTTTTTTTTTTTTCTCTGACATGACAATGCAGTGTTCTGACATGCTAATATATGTCTACAGTTCTTCTGCAGGAAGAAATAACAGATTTGTGCATCTTCAGGTATGCATAATTATTTTACTAATTTTAAATACATAATTTAGGCCAGAAATGTTACATAATTTAGCTCTATATGTCTATTTTGTATTTCTATATTAATTTTGCGTGTATATATACACAGACTGTGATCTTTGAACAATACTATTTTGGGATTCATGGTGTTTATCGCTATGTATGTGATTAGAAACTTGATGGGTTTTTTTTGTGTTTTTTTTTTAATTAAATTGTATGCTACATACTGTCTGGAAGCTAAAAGGCATTATGGAAACATTTAGTAATTTGAATACCAAAATAGACTTATTTATTGTCAGTAATAAAAGTTAGAAGATAATAAAAAAAAAACCCAACAAAAAATAAACATTCTAAAGCTTTCACTAAAACAAGACTTTTTTTGTTTGTTTTTAAAAACAAAATTACTGGTATTAAGAAGAATATGTATCAACTCTGCTATATTTTCTGTGCATACTAGCAGAGAAGGCAAAATATCTGGGAGTATTATTTCTGCTCATTCTCCTACAGAGAAATGACTAAGTTTTTTTCATTCAAAAAACTATTTAGATTTTGAAAAATCTTGGAATGAAGATGGTAAAAAAGTAGCAAGGGGAGTAGAGAAATTAGAAGTTTTAATCTTCAATTCAAAGCAGCTCCGGTCTGAAATTCTTAACCTATTAGTTGTAATTTTAGATAAACAGTAAAGACTAAACCTTTCAGAATTATCAGTTTATTTCATTTTATTGATGAAGTAATTTGATAGCTTACTTTTTCCTTAGTATTTTTGTTTGTCTTTGATTTCATTGTGTAATTCAATATGAAAGGACATGAACAGCATTAGAAACGTGGAGTATACTTCTCATTCTGCTCTAAAATTAAATTTCACTTTTGCATGTGTATAACCTGAGTAGAAACCTACCTCTGCTAAACTTCTTTCCTTCAACAGTGCAAGTACTTCTCTACTATTCTGTCCAAAATAGTAATTAATTAGGCATACATCTAAAGACCAGTTTAATAAACATGCAGAAGCGTGGGTGTCCTTATATATTAGGAATCATATCCCACATTTAATAGAATTAGAGCGACAGTATATGTTACCACATGATTACTTGCTAATGTTACCATTACTCTTAAGGTATAAATAAATATGCATCATAGTGGAATGATGGAAGCTGCACCTACTGAATTTAAACTTATCACTGTTTATAACTTTCATAACTGAGTATGTCAGTCAAAATTAGTTTGAATATGTGAATCCTGTCTCTGTTAAAAATCCTTATTAAGTAGTTTTTGAAAACACCCCAGAATTTTGCTGTTTTGTTGTTGTGATTTCTTTTAATAATAGTTTTCTCTGATAAATAGCCATGGGAAATTAACATTTTCTAGCCTGAATGGCAATAGCATAATTTTTATTTGTGGATAAAGAACACTAAAGGAAGAACTAAAAAAAGGAGGAAGCTGCAAAAAGTGTCTACTGGACAAGCATGGGAAAGGTTTGGGTTTTTTTTTTTTGGTTTACTTTTTCTGTGAATTAAAATAAGAATTTAATTTTGAAAATCACAAACTATTTCCTATAAATTAACAGAATACTGCTGTTAACACACTGTTTTTTAAGAATTTTTAAGTTCTGAAATTTAAATTAGAATCATAGAATAGTTAGGGCTGGAAAAGACCTTAAGATCACCTAGTTCCAAGCCCCCTGCCATGGGCAGGGACACCTCCCACTAAACCATGTCATTCAAAGCACTGTCCAACCTGGCCTTGAGCACCGCCAGGGATGGAGCATTCACAACTTCCTTGGGCAACCCATTCCAGTGCCTCACCACCCTTACAGTAAATTCTTAAACTAAGTTCAAATAAAGTTTTAAATTAAAAAGAAAAATGAAATTCAGCTTTAAAACAGTGAATCTTTCTGAAATGGAGCATTAAAAATTTTAAATATTGACATAGAAACTTCAGATATTGCACGTTTTTCCCCATTTTTCAGAATAAATAGTCAATAATTTTTTCTTCAAGATCACTTTCTGTTTAAAAGGGTGTAGAGGATTTCTAAGAAAAGACTGATCAAAACTTTGCCGTATACATTTGTGGGCAATGCAGGCTGGAAGACAGAGGGGAGATTCCCCCCCTTTCCTCCTTTAGTGCTATCAGGGCCCTCATGGCACCCATAGGGACAACAGCCCTGGTGATCCCCCAGGACCTTCTGGGCACCCATTTTGGGTGAGACTACACTAGACTAGATGGGAAAAAACATAAGGAAGTGGAACAGTATTACTTGTGCACAAACTCTATCCTTTGCCCTCAGACACAGAAAATGGGCTTTAGCCTATTTTATTTATTACTGTAATATTAGCCGTAGGCACCTCAGGGACTATTTCTTGCAGACTATTTCTTTTGGGCACTTTGCAGACTAAGTAATACCAAGTGCGTTGAAGTCAGATGACAGTTATTTGGTCTAGGTGACTTTCAAGACAACAGTGAAAAACCTTACAGCTTCAAGTCTGAGACCTCTCTTCTGGGACAGAGCACTAGTTAATTAAAAAAAAAAAAAATACAAAAGAAGAAACACCTCTTGCTATTTAAGATTCATCAGCATGTGTAGTTTTCCTGACTTCACTTTTGGCATAGAAGTCAGGATGCTCTTCTGTAGTCTCTCATGTAGGCTATAGATTACAGCACGAGGTTGTACTGAAAGTGGAAATCAAAGAGCAGCACAGATCTTTGCTTTGTCATGGACTTTGCCCACCAGGAACACACATGAAGATACATGGGCTTACTATGGGAGAGTGGAAAAAAATGTATTTGTTATTCCACAGCTACTCTGATCAAATGCACTTCCGAAGACTGAGCAATGGCAATGAACTCCTGCTGTCATAATCCCTGGAAAACACTTTCAAGCAAACTGCAGCTTTGCAGGAGCTTCTTTATTAGACACTTAACTGCTTGTAAATATTTTCCTACTGAAACCCCTCCTCTAATGATTGTAATATGAAACAGTTTTTATTTGACAATGCAGAACTGCAGAGAGGCAATGGTTGGCATGAATCTTACTGTACTAATAATGTTTATCAGCATGTTCTATTGCACTATGATTGTGCATTTTTGAGAATTTATCCCAAACTGGGTGACATTTGCTACTGTTCTAAGCCTACAGCAATCCATATGATGTGACAGTGTTTGCTTGCCTAAGATCTTTAGAGAGGTTTGGCCGCCACTTGTTTCAAGATATGACTGCTGTACTGGGGGGAAAGAGGAGATAAAGGAGAATGTATAAGAGATTTTTATTATTAATTCAGTTCTTCAGCCATGTAAGTAAGAGATCAGAAGTGACAAAAAGTACATTTTCATATATGTTTTACGTATACTTACTATAAAATCAGCACTTGCTATTGTTTTTTCTGTTTTCCCCTCAATCCTAATCAAACCTTTACAAAATTCTGGCCTTATTCTATGTCAGTCGTCTGGCAGATAGTACTTATAAATAGTGAAAGGCAAAGAACATGAGGTAAAAAGTAGGGGGGTACTCCAACACAAGGCAATATATTCTGGGAATAAATAGAATCTTATGTTCTGATATTGAGATAAGAAGTTGAATTTTTAAGACTTCTCATTGAACATTTTTTCAATAGTAGAAATTTTGATGTTGAGAGTACATTTTTATGGTGCTAATACCCAGAAAAATCCTGACAAATATTCAGTGTTTAACTATAGTGTTTAACTTAAGCATGACATAATTACATTCCTACAGACAGTGAACAGGCATCTTTAGAATTTGAAACAACCTTTGGAATCACTTTGCATAAGACAAGTGAATCAATGGTTCCTCCACTGGTGGCTGCTGAAGGTGTGTTAAATGCTAAAATATAAATGAGGTACATTGGATTATTAGTCCTTACAGTCTTTCCTGGTGGAATAGTAGGCTAATCTGCTTATCCTCTCAGGCTCTCTCTGCACTAATTATGGTAGTAAAGCCTGCTTTTAAGCACTTGTTTTCATACTACTTTTCCTAATTTCTTTGTTCAATAAAGAAATCAAAATCAAGATTTGCTGCATTGTGATCTATGCTTCACATCAAATTATTTAAGAATACCCTAATTTTCTTTCTGGACTTCAATTAAGAAATATAGAATACTTCACCCACACATTGTCTTTCATACCAAAGTGTTCATAAAACACTTTGCAAATGCCATTCTGTTGACTTATGTAGTTATCAATCCTGTCTTAATCATATTTAGGTAAAATTTAATATGGGTATGCTAAGCTGGGGGCTTTCACAATGCTTGTTCTCACTTAGACCTAGTTTAACTGTTTTATGACCTTTAACAGTACCAACTAACTTTTGATTCTTTAACTCTCTGTTAACTAACTACTTTTATTTCCTAGAAAGGGTGAAGACACACAAGACTTACACTGATGAGCACCTTACTAAAAGTACTAGCTGTTAACAGGTCAAACCACTGTTACAAGGAGCTCTGGAAATGATATTTTAGGATGATTTTTCATTTTACTATAGTGAAATCTATGGTGGAAAGCAGTGAAAAAATAGATTAAAATGCAGTTAAACCTGTAGAAGTGAACCACATTCTTTTTTTCTTACAGCAAATACAGAAATAAAGGTAAATATAGTAATACAGGTCATGCAGGTGAGCTGATTAAAATGAGTATCTTCTTCAGTCTCACACGAAGATAATTAAGGAGTTCCAACCTTTACTATCTTTGTGTAAATCACTTTGAGGAAACTAATTTCCTTGACCTTCAAACAAGCTGCCTAACACTTAAAAGGCTAAAGTAGTTATTAAAGCATCTTTGATAAAGGGTAAAAATGATCATGTTCATAGGCTGTTATCTGGTTTCAAAGCTAGGTATGCAACGGTATAGTTTCACAATCAGTTTAAACCAGATTAAGCTGGCAGGGCTGCAGAAAGAAGCAATCCCACCGTCCTTCACCTCTATTTCTCCCTTGTGTCAGCACATGCATTTACCTTCGTTTAAACTAAACAGTTGGGGTTTTGCCATGTTAGTTTTAAGCATGATCAGTTCTCTGACCTGATTCACTGTGTAGCTGTACAAAGCTTCCTCAGGGAGGGGGAAGATGGCAGGGAGGTGAAAGGGGAGTGGTAGAAACACTTCTCTTGGCATCAGTGCCAGATTCTGCCACTGCAAATTGATTGTGAAGTTATAGCATAAGATGCAATAGGTTGCCTGCCTCTATTGATTGCAGATGGGACCTCACTGACTGACCTGGACTATAGGGGAACAGAAACTACCTAAAAATGTCTGCACAGATTAGCTGAAAACACTGTCTTTAAATTTTTATTTATTTCTTTTTTTTTGGCATAAAAATAGGTTTCTTAATTAAAAGGAGAGCATTTTATTTTCTTTTCTTTTTCCTTATTTTTTATATAGAACATGTCCAAGCATGCTGTATACACAAACCGAAAGAGGGTAGTTGTTTAATAGCTATCAAAGAACAAAAAACATTCATTTTCAAAATACTAACAACTAGATACATATTGTACTTTAATTTTAATTGTGCACAAGGGAACTAAATACACAGTTTAAGTCATATAGAAATATGGGAGAACTAGACCCACAACATATCTCACCTACAGTTTCTAAAAAAGGCTTGAGTCGTTTGGGATTTGTATGGATAGATTAAAAAAAAAAAAAAAGTTAAAAGGGAAAAAGTAATAAACTGTAATAGAAACCATGTTTCTGTTCTGTTGCCAGAAGGTATCATAATATTTTGAGTACTATATACTTCTAAGAATAAAAATTGGGCACAAAAAAGGAGGGGGAACAAACAGCATGGGAAAGGGAGTAAAACAAACATGCATTTGTTTTTATATCTTACAATGTTACTGATTTGAAGGGGCTCATTTAATATGACAAATAAATCTTTCATCTTTTAGCCCACAAAACAGTGAAAACTCTCAGACTATTTGCACGGTATTTTTAGGAGAGGAATGGGGAGATGGGAATCTCCTAAAGCCTCCACTTAGTTTGGAAACATTTTAGATTAATTTTCCAGAAATACAGTATGGTGTTGGGAGTTCAATTTGCTTCTTTACCCTCTAAAGACTTTACAGTAAATTTCCTCTGCCTATAACAAATGCCGCGAAGTACAGTAGAGTTCATCCAGTTCCGGGGCAGAATTCCTCCACCATTTAAGTGACTGATGGCCAAGTTATGCAGGAGACTCTGCCTTCAGCAGTCTTTTATGTTGCTGCAGTTCCTTAGTATTTGTAGTGGGTAACTTAGCTACAATTTAAAGACTACATCTGCTATGAAAAAGACTGGTCCCATGGATGGAATTATGTTTTCCATGGAAATTTGCCGTCAACATGCCAGAACACTAGTGAAATTCATAGTCTGCCACACACGAAAAGCTCAAGAAACTTTCTAAGGTTGACCTTCACTCATATCTTAAACAAAATCTGTCTGGAAGCAATTGATAAAGCCAGGCACTGAGTCTGATCAGCAGAAAGGTACTGAAAAATGTAACAATACAGATAGCACTGTTCTGTTTTAGATTTTAACTTAATTTTTAGATAATCCTAAAGCATGAACTTCAGGCAGTAGACAAATATGAGATTGGTTGAATTAGCTTGGATAGGATCTGAATTGTCTTTTTAGTCCATTTGTTCTGTGCTACAATAGGTCCTTTCCTGGTTATAGGTATGAACATTATTCATGGCCTCTGAAACATTCCACTCCCAAGCAATATCACCAGTTCAGTCTAGTCAAGAATTCAAGAATTCTTTCAGGGAAATATTTTCTTCAAACCATGTTTTGGAAATTTGATTATCAGGGAATGATGTTCCTGGCTGAGTGTTTAGTTTTGAAGTTATGATGAGGGGAAGCCAAAATCCCAGATTTGAACCAGATTCTTCTAACTTCACCTCTCAATGGAGAAAACAGTCCCCATGTATCCAAATTATAGTAATATCAATGATTATAATCTGCTTGATTTCAACTGGGTTTAATTATGACTAGGTTTAGAATTTAGGTTTTCATCTTCCATGAGATTTCTGATTGTATTTAAGCAAAGACTTCCCCAATTAATTGTAATGGGAAAATAGCTGCTGTCTGAATAAGAAAATTATTTTTCTGTATTCTTAACAGATTGTCCCATACCTTTCTTAATATTAAGGTCCACTTTTTTTTGTCTCAAATATAAGAGCTTATAAGTACACAACTGAGAAGTAGTCATTCTACTTAAGGTCTTCCTGTAATCTCCTTGCAATCTATTTGTCTAGACTACAGTCTACATGTGCATTCCATTCTACTTTTCATTGAAACCTTGATGCCCTCATTTTAAAATACACAGAAATATTTTGGGTTTTGTCCCAATTAAAAACTGAATATGTCTAACCTGACTATATTGAACAAAAAAATAAAAGAAGTTGAGCATGGTTTTTGAATCAAAATTAGTTAACTAGCTTGACTTAGTTAACTAGCTTGACCGAGTTAACTAACTTGAATATTTGGCTGGTGAAAGAAACCGAGGGACAAAATTAAGTGACAAAACTTGAAAAAAATAAAAAGTTAATATATTAAAAAAAATCAGCACCCAGGTGACAGAAGCTGAGATGGTGAAGAAGGTTATGTCACATCTTTAAGATGAAAAACTAAAGAAGAAAAAAAATAAATAAAAAGGGTGTGGGAATTTCCTGGATGATAATTCAAAGGCGAAAGCATCAAACATAAAATGAATGGATATAATCAAGGAAAATAAATAAAAAGCTTGAGTCAAGCGGAAATAGTGCCCTGAAATTAGACCCATATGTGACAAAAGGATGGAATAAATGCAAGCTAAAGAAGCACTTCTTTTTACAAGATACTAGATATATGGGAAACTGAGTCTTGTTCCTGAAAAAAAACAAAAAAAAGGCAGAGTGCAACAGAAGGATGAGAAAGGGCAAACAAATAAATTAAAGGGCAAAACTTCGCATTTTTGGGTCAATTAGTGTCAACACATAGTGTTGCATTGTAATGGAATAGAACAGCACACTTGTCACTGCCATACGCAACCAGTTTATCAGCATCAAAGAGTAAAATATTCAAAGGCACACAGCCTGGATATAGACACAGACAAAGCCAAAAGCCAGCAGCAACAGAATTATGGACAGGAAAAACACATTTAGATCTTTTCAGTATACATTCCACTTCTTCTTTGTGCCAATTACAGGGATAGCATGTGGAGAAGAGGAGCTTCTCAAACTTGGGTGGTATGTGGCTTTTTGCAAATAGCATGTTTTCATGCTACCCAATGTTTTCATTCCTACCCAGTAAGCAGGACAGCTGAAGAATCATTTGGAATATGTAAGTGGCCAAAAGATGGGTGAATGTGGAATACTGAAAGGGAACGAAGATAAACAAATTTAATAATTACAAATAAGCATATAAGAAAGAACCTTGTTCAAGTAAGCAAAAACCTGGAACTACAAATAACAAACAAAAACCATGGAACTCATCAGATTTTTCCCACTGATACTAGATGTCATCAGTATTTAGCTCAGAAAGGTTCCCTTTTCCATAGGAGACAAAGTTAAAAAGATTTTTAGACAGCTGACCTAGATAAAAGCAATGGAAAGTGCCATGGCAGAATAGGAATGGACAAGTACAAGATTAAGTGGCTTGATTAAACATAGATATTATAACACAAATACAGAACAAATAACAACGAGTAATTCTCAGGGTTTTTTAAAAGACAGCTCATAGAAGTACAGACAGTTAAAAACTATGAAAGTGCTATATTATGCACATAAATGGCATTCACAATCCACAGGACAGAAAGCAGAAAGAGGTGTTAAAAGAGGCAAAGAAGCATACTGAGAGTTCAGATAGACATCTTGAAAGGAGTGATGTCAGAAACAACAAAAATATGTCAGGCCTGGTTTGTTTTCCTTCTCCAACGTGATGGTAAAATGAAAAGCTTACATTTTCACGGAGTGGACAGATCAATAAGATGATGTTAAGATGATAATTTCATTTCAAAAATCTTTATTGCATTTTCCAGTTCTAAATGTGTTCTGCTT